TAATATTATCAAGAAGCACACAAAAGAAAAGTAAAATTAAAAACTGAATTTGAAATTTTTAAACTAAAATTTAACAATGCTTTAAATTTATACATTTAATAATAACTGTAATCAAAATAAATAAAATTTTCTAGAGAAACCATTATTAACAACAAAACAAGTAGACAAAAACTTTAACTACATTCAAAAAACCCAACAACAAATGCCTCTATATTATCTTTAATAGAATTGTTAAAAAAAACATTTTATGCTCTAAAAATAGCATAAAAAGTTATTTACTATTACTTATACTTTAATATAAATGGCTATGATAGAAGAGAAAAGAAAATAAAAACAAGGTTTTTTTTCTTTCAATTAAATTCTTTCAATTAAATTATTTTAGGTTCCCTAACTGCAGCTTTACCCAAAAGTAATACATTAAAGTAAATCAGCATAAATTTAATTTCTAACATCATGAAAGTTGTTATACATTTTAGTTTAAAACTTTAAATTGTGTTTATGATGGTCGCTCAATAACTAACAGGAAAAAATTATTATTAGTCAAAAATGTTTGAATTACGCCTCATAAAACTTTCAGGAACTATAGTTGTTATGACATCTGAACAGCTGTTTAATCATATTTTGTAAACATAACTATAAATTTAGTCAGTTAACAATAGCAAGTCTGCTTGAGAATTTCACCAAGGAAGAACAATATGCAGTGATTTTTAGTCATGGGCAGTAGGAAAAGGGGTAAATTTAAATTGTTTGAATATTTACTAATGGGAACAACAGCTTCTAAGTAGCTGTACAAAAGTTTCTGAAGAAACTTTTGTGCAGCCACTTTCTCTCTCAAACCATGGGTTCAAACCATGGGTTGAGGCATTATAATAGGCATACCACTGTGAAACTGATAAGGGAAAAAGTGAACGTAAGTATTGGAACTGTCCATAACATTATTCACAATAAGCAGCAGTACAGGAAAATCTGTGCAAGATGGGTGCCCCAAAAACTCAGGAACACTCAAAAAGCAACCCAGCTTCAAATCAGTCAACAGTTAAAACATATTTTTAAAATACTTATAATGTTTGACAAAACTAAAAAAAAAAAAGGCAGAGCCCTGAGTGAGCATTGGACTTCTCCCATTCAAAAAAAATTCAGGACCCAGCGATTGGCAGGTAAAATCATGCTTACAGTATTCTGAGATTTTCAGGGGCCAATTTATTGTGATTTCCTTGATGACCAAACAACAATAAGCCAGCACTACAGTGACATGCTGGAAAACAAGGTAAGACCAGCCATTCGAACAAAATGCCACATGCTCTTGACTGAAGGCATAATTTTCCTTCATGACAGCGCCTGTCCATATACTGTATAGCGGACAAAAGAAAAACTTCAAAAACTGGGGTAGGAGATTCTTCCACATCCCCCATACAGCTCTGACTTCACCTCATCAGACTTTCATCTGTTTGGACCCCTTAAAAAAAGTCTATAAGGAAAAAATTTTCATTGCAATGATGCAATCAATGAAACATTTTCAATGCAATAATTGAAGGTTAAAAATCAGGTGTAAAGTGGCTTTAATATCAACCAAAAGAATTTTATGCCAAGGGCATTTACAAATTAGTAGAGAGATGAGACAAGTGCATAAGTGTTTCTGGAGAATATGTTGAAATGTAACAAAATTTTTGTACTGATTGAACAAACCATTGTTGAGTAATAGTATTTTGTCTTGTTAATTATTGAACAACCCTTCTATCTTATTATGGACAAATAATGCTAAATTTAACTAATTTTGAGATATAGAAAAATGCTTTTTATTAAGATAATATAATTTTAAAATTTCAAATATAATTTAAAAAAACCTGTGCTGACAGCCAGAAAAAGGCTCAAAAAATTGAGGTGGATTAAGGAGTAAATTAGCTGAAAAAGCGGAAGTAAGTAATTTTCAGTGATGAATTTAACTTTGAGTTCTTGTTAAAATCTTAAAAATATAGAGATTACTTTGCATTACCAAGGTAAAAATGTTGGTATTTGGGGCAAGAAAGCAAAGTGAATTTATTGCTCTGGCAAACTTGATCACCAGATTTGAATCTATTTTTACTGTTTTGTGTTTTACTTTAAATAAAAAATTAGATCCATATCTTCTTTAGTTTTTATTTTATTATACCTTAAATAAGCTTTAAGCAAATTAATGTGCTTATTCTTTTAGAAAGCACTATATTTATATATATATATATATATATATATATATATATATATATATATATATATATATATATATATATATATATATATATATATATATATATATATATATATATATATATATATATATATATATATATATATGAAACTATATACATCTTAATATATTTAAACATACTTAAATATTATGCTACGAGGATTTACGCCATTTGTTTTACTCCACCAAGCACTAAGTTGTGAAAAATGGAGAAAAGACCGAATAGCTTGAAATACCATTTCTGTACTTGAATATGTGTTCCTGTAACTTTCCTCACTAAAAAAGTCATTTATAAAAAAATTAGAATTAAAAATACTTTATAAATTATATATAAAATATATAAAATATAAATTAACAATTAAATACATATGCGTACATCAATACATACATCAATACATACATACATACATACATACATACACACGTACATACATACATACACACATACATACATACATACATACATACATACATACATACATACATACATACATACATACATACATACATACATACATACATACATACATACATACATACATACATACATTAAATTTAGCTCAAGGAGAAGGTTATTTAATTTACTTTTATTTCAATAAATAAATTTTGATAGCTACAAAAAGAAGGTGAGCACTTTTTTGAAAGAAAGCAGTGCTCTTTTCTCTATTCATAAAACAAACATATTTGGTTTGATAAAAAGTAATAAAAATAAGGATGATGAGGCTAAGAGGCAAGACATAAAATTTATGAGACATTGTTTGTAAGGAGATATGGGCAATAAATTTTTTGAAAATGCTCACAGAGCACGAGTAAAACTAATTAAAAAACTTGAGAAAATCCAAAGGCATAACATAAAAATAAGAAAAAAGAGAAAACCTTTCAAGCACAGGTAGTGAAAATAAGACTAAATGCAATGAAATATATTTACCTCCAGCTGAAGTCCAGAAATATCAGAAAAGATTTCAGAGTTTGCCTTCAGTTAAGTATGGAAGACATTCTTAACAAATTGGATTCCAATTATGAACAGATTTGGGATTGAATTCAGGCTAGGTGTGTGCTTTTTGTCTTTTCGTTCCAAGGCTGGTGTAGTTAACATTGATAGTATGTTGATATTAAGATCAACTCTAAACACATGTTGTGGAGTCTGAGGCACAGATAATTAGATTGGAAAACATAAAGAAAATAAGAGGTTTAAAAATTATGGTACATTTTGATACCAAGATTTTAAAGAGATACAATTGAAAAAGAGGAATATTTAAAATTGAGGATAGAATTGCCATTAGTGCATCTTCACCAGAGTCTGGTCCACTAGACTTCCTTCTTAGCATCTTAAAAATTGAAAACTCTAAGGAAAGTGATCAAGCCATTACAAATCAAACAATGCTTGAATACTATGAGATATCTGATCAGATTATTGGATTAAGTTCTAACACAACATCCAGTAAGACTGGCAAAAGTAAAGGTGCGATAAGCATTAAGATTTAATATGTTGTTGATAGACGGTTTTCTGGTTAATGTGCAGACACCACATCTATGAAAGACACGCAGTTTATGTGATGAAAGAAATTTTTGGTCCAACTTAAAGTGGTCTCATCAAGAAGCTAAGACCACTTTATGTTGGACCAAAAATTTCTTTTAACTACATTCTTTTTATTAAACCAATATGTTTAACATATGTTTGTTTTATGAATAGAGAAAAGAGCACTGCTTTCTTTCAAAAAAGTGCTCACCATTTTCTAGGAGCTAAGTTATCAAAATTTTCAATAAAACAGCCTGGAGCTTATCATGAAGCAAGATTTATGGCTAACTGTATCTATTTACTGGTTATTCAGATGACTCAAATGTACAACCCTGCTAATTCCAAGAAAAAACACATTAAACTATCTGAAGACTGCGACTAACTAGATTCTATTTTTTCAGGGATTTTCTTTCTGTAAAGCCATAATATTTCTCAAGCACCCTCAAAGGAATTAATGGCATATAATACTACTTTTAAACTACAAACAGTGGATGATTTTAAAGAACTTCAGCCATAGGAAGGGGTCTTTATCAGACCCTCATACATCATAATTAGTGTCTGTCTCCGCAAAAAGTAATTTGTTGCTTTTGTTGATAAGGAACTGAAAACTACAGATAAGACCAACATCTTAACATTGCTTACTTATGAAATCCCGGAATTAAGGGGTCTGGTTAAAAGAAGCCTGAAACTCGGGTTAAAATTATTCCTACATCAAAATTAGAAAACTTTATCAATGAACAGGCTTTTACAAATTGCAGTTGTAAATGACAGTGCATCGCTACATTTTTTTTTTAAAGATCTTAGCTTCTAACAAGGCTGCAAGCAACTACTAATTAGTGTTGGAAGTTACTGGATGAGAAAAGATGAAGATTGTAGTGCAAGATAACGATTGGCAGACGACTTAAAAGATTGCAAATTATATGAATCAGGAAAGCAAGTTAAAAGAAGTGAATTCCAAAGTACTGATGTTCGAGGAAAAAAACTAGACCAATAAAAATTTTTAAAGCACTTAGGAACAGTAACAGAAAAAGGATGAGACAATTGAATGACAAGTAACATAAGAACAAATTTTAGTAGATAGCACAAGAAACTCTAGCTCTTTAGAGCAGTGCCTATTATAGTATTTGTAGAAAAGAGAAAGAGAAGCAACATTACGACGATGTGATAATGATTGAAGGTTGGCTGCAAGAGCAGGTCTAACTATATTTACAATGCATTTTTGCACCTTGTCTAAAAGAGAAAGGGTATCATTAGAATATCCGCCCTAGATATGGCAACAGTATTCCAACTTTGCTATCAGTTATTACTGTTAGCAAATCAGCTGTAGAACAAGAAGATAGAAATCCATATTGATGATCAGAAAGTAAGTTATTAGATTCAAGATGAGAGATTAATTGTTTGTTAAATGAAGACTCAAAAACCTTGCTTATGATAGGAAGAAGACTAATGGGATGGTAGTTAGACAAATCAGATCACTCTCCAGAACTTTTGAAAATAAGGATAACAGATGCTGCTTTCCAGCAAGCTGGAAAACAAGAATCTGATAATCACTTGTTGAATAGTTTTGAAAGGATAGACGACAGCTCTGGAGAACACTTATGCAAGACTATAACAGGTATGTTGTCCGGGCCACAAGCTGTAGAAGTGTTTAAGCAGGAAATCACTTTAGATACAGAAGCTGGAGTGATACAAATGTCAAGAAATGGATCAACCTGTTTGACCGCTATATCAGGTAGAACGCAACTAGTGGAATCAAGAGATAATATTAATGAAAAGTTCTTAGCAAACAATTCAGCTTTGTCTTTAGGTGAGGTGACAAAGTCTAAACCATACAAAAGAGGTGGAATTACAGACTTTTCCTTATTATTGATACTTTTAAAGATTCTCCAGAAGTAATTGTTGTGATGAAATACGAGATTTCATGGCATTAGACATAACCTTTTTACAATAGTTCTAAAATCGATGATTTCTTTTTTAAAGAAATTTACTTAAAGATTTCACGACAAGCAAATTTATTTGCTTGACACGTACCATTAATTTTTGGTTTGTTTTAGTAACAATTATTATCTAAATAATATGAATAAAGTCAATTTTAAGTCAAAATTTACTATTATTAAAATAAACTTACTATTATTAAAATAAAAGCAAACTCACATAAACACCTTTTGCTTCAGCTAGATACAATTTTTTTATTGCTGGTATTTATGGACAAAATGATGCCAAATGCAATATTCTGCATGTTAAAATGCATACATTTGTATGATATATTTTTAAGACACCCTAATATACATATACACACACACAAACACGCACACACATATTTTATATATATACATGTATATATATATATATATATATATATATATATGTATATATAAATATGTATGTATATATATATATATATATATATAAATATATATATATATATATATATATTTTTTGATTTGCATTCACTCCCAACAAGGCTGCAAGCAACCACTATCAAGTTGGGAGTTACTAGGAAAAAAAAGAACAGAGTTATAGAGCAAGGAAACGGTTGACAGAAGACTTGAAAAGTTGAAGGTTGTATGAGTCAGGAAAACATGAAGATGGGAGAGAGTTCCAAAGGATTGAAGTGCGGGGAAGAAAACTAGATGAATAAAAGTTTTTAGAACATGCAGGGACAGATACAGTAAACGAATGAGACTTAGCTGAATGACGAGTAAAACAAGAATGAATTTTAGTTGATGGAACTAGAGATGATAACTCCTTTGAGCAGTGACCATGATAGTATTTGTAAAAAAGAGAAAGAGATGCAACTTTACGACGATGGGAAAGAGGTTCAAGCTTAGCAGATAGTCCAGGTCCAATAACATTTACAATGCGTTTTTGGACCTTGTCAAGAAGAGAAAGTGAATTGTTAGAAGAACCAGCCCAAATACGACAACAGTATTCCATACAGGGACGAATAAGAGATTTGTAGAGGTAGAGAATGGAATCAGAAGTAAGAAAATGGAGAGCACGATAAAGAGAAGCAACCTTAGCAGAAGCTAATTTAGCAATCGATTGTATATATGGTTTCCGTGAAAGGTCAGTAGTAAGCGATAATCCAAGAAGACGTAAAGAGGACGACTCAGTAAGAGGATTGCCATTCATTAATATAGGAATGTTGACCATATTACGGTAGTTGTTTGCAGTAAGCAATTGGGTTTTTTTAGAGTTGAAATTCACAAGCCACTGTGAACCCCAATCTATTACTGAAGTGAGATCAGATTCAAGATCAGCTGCTTGTTCTAGGCGATCGAAAAGAGAAGACTTTTTGTCAAGACAGGAGTATAAAGTTGAGTCATCAGCAAAAAAGAGCTACTTTAGATGAAAGGTTGTCAGGAAGATCGTTTATGTAGATAAGAAACAAAACAGGGTCCAGGATGGAACCTTGGGGAACCCCAGAAGTTACTGGAAATAAAGAAGAGTGTTGGCCATCAAGGATGACTTTAATAAACCGGTTAGAAAGAAATGATTTGATAATCTCAAAAACTTTCCCAGAAACACCATATGAAGCAAGCTTATGGAGAAGACCAGCATGCCAAACTTTGTCAAAAGCTTTAGATATGTCAAAAGCAACCGCCCTAGCCTCACCGCCAGTATTGATATATATATATACATATATATACAAATAGTATTGCGTACTAAGGTAAGAAATCTGACGTCATACTGAAACAGCCTGCTGCTGGGGGCTTCAGTACATACATCGACTGTCAAATAGCCTGATTCGCAG